TATATATATATATATTCCGAGACATGATAAATTATGTGAAAAATAAGTTTTGTAATCCCTGATTTGACTGTTTGCAAATAAAAAATAAAGATTGCACATGTGAACCGTAATCTTAGCCACGTTGTGTAATTTTTTTAATCACATATCCAAAAACTAGTGAATCAGAAGCCTAATTAATCTTCGCTGTCCAGGCAAGAAGGCCTATATATACATAGCAAATGCTCACTGCGGCTTAAACCAGGCATCAACGAATATTAAAGGAAGGAGAAACCGCAGATAACTGGAGAGGCTGAAGATGAAGCAAATGGGTTATATGAGAAATCCACATTTGTACTTGTCAGCCGTGAGAGCTCTCCTTGGTCTGCTGTTCCTGGGTTGGTTAATGATCTGGGCGGTAATGCCTACCAAAACTTACAGAGAAAAGTGGAGCTCTAAGCTCGTATCTGCCACCATCTCCACCTTCCTCGGAATGCAAGGTAATTAGAAAATCTTTTCTTTTGCAGGAATAAATTATAAGATAAACAATGTAGTTCATGATTCAATATCTTTAATATTATAGTTGTCTGCATCTAATTTTATGTGTAATATCATAATTAATGGAATCCAGATTGTTATAGTTAACAAGAACTAATGGCTGCATGCAGGGACTTGGATTCTAATCATTACATTCCCCATCTTATTCATTGCTGTAGTGGGGTGCCTTTATCTCCATTTAGTGGAGAAAAACCGTTCAAGGTAAATCGATTTTCATCGGGTTTATTGCTAAATTTTAACGTAAATGAAACGAATATCTGAACTTTGCACTATCTATCATCAAATTAATGAGGAAAAGCAAATTAGAACCCCTTTCTTCGAATTCCTTAAAAAGCAACTTAGAGCTCCAAAGTTTGCTCTTTTATTACAGGGAACGGTTTAATGGAAGTGGGGAGTTAATCCGGCGACTGAGAGCGTGGCGGAGGCCGGCGATGGTGAGCGGCCCGCTTGGGGTGATCACCGCAGTTGAACTTGCCTTCTGCATCATGTTCATGATCCTCGTCAGCTGGGCCTTGTACGCGTACATAAGTGGCGGCCTTTCCCACGTCAGCTCTATGGTTGCTGCAGAGAACGGAGAGAAACTGTGAGAATGATCAAAAGAGATCAACTAATTACTATTATTCTTTCATACATCATGAATTAAGAAAAATATTTTCTTGTTGGCAGGTGGGAGGCGAAGTTATATGATGTGGGCTTACAGTTGGGTCTGGCCGGAAATATGTGTGCAGCCTTCCTCTTCTTCCCGGTGGCTCGCAGCTCCTCTCTTCTGCCGCTGGTTGGATTGACATCGGAAAGCAGCATCAGGTATCATGTATGGCTTGGCCATTTAGTCATGGTTCTCTTCACTGCACACGGCCTCTGTTATGTCATCGTCTGGGCTTTTAATGGCAGCATCAACGAGGTAATTATTTATTCACAAGCACATCCCTTTCGGATTATATATGACCAAACGTAGGAAAAGTTTTTTTGTTAAATTTACTCTAATTGCAGATGCTGAAATGGGCGAGTGTTGACATCTCAAACGTGGCGGGAGAAGCAACTCTGCTCTGTGGTTTGGCTATGTGGGCGGTTACCTTCCCTCGCATTCGTCGCAGTATGTTCGAGCTTTTCTTTTACGCTCATTATTTGTACATTCCCTTTCTGCTCTTCTATCTTCTACACGTTAGCTTCGCTCCCTTCTGCTTCATCCTTCCCGGCGTCTACCTTTTTATCGTCGACCGCTTCCTCCGCCTCCTGCAATCGCGGCGTAGAGTTCGATTGCTCTCTGCACGGCTTCTGCAATCTGAGGCCATGGAACTTAACTTCGCAAAGGCTCCTGGTGAGAAATGACATACTGAAGACTGTAATTCACTATTATACAGGGCGAAGTTCAGTTTAAACCATATAGAACTTTCATTAAAAAAAACTATGCACATAAAATCTCATCAAATTGAATCCTCGCCACCTGTTTCAGGTTTCAGCTACAATCCGACAAGCATGGTTTTCATAAAGGTGCCAAGTATCTCATCGCTTCAATGGCATCCCTTCACAGTGACCTCGAGCAGCAGCCTGGAGCTAGAGAATCTCAGCGTCGTCATAAAGAAGGATGGGAGGTGGACTCAGAAGCTCTTTGAGCTGCTCTCCCAGCCATCGCTACAACGCCTCGAGGTTGCGGTAGAAGGGCCATATAGCCCGGGATCCATCGATTTTCTCAGGTTCCATTTCGCCTCTAATTTCCCGATTCAATTAATGAACCTTTCAATACAGAAAAAGCTCATTTTGTACATACTGCGCCAAAAAAAAAAAAAAAAAAAAGTTCAAAATGTGAATGCTTCTTCAAAAGATTATTTTTTTAATATTAAAATGTAGAATGTTTCGTTTCCGTTTCATTGATCGCCAAAAGTAAACTATTTTAAAAATCAAACAACGTCGACTGCATTTCTTATATTAACTCACCTCTTGATGACTTTGTTCTGCAGCTATGATTCACTGATACTCGTAAGCGGCGGCAGTGGAATCACCCCCTTCATCTCCATAATCCGAGAATTAGTCCACCACAGCGCCACCCTCTCCAACAAACCACCAACCGTCCTCTTGATCTCCATCTTCAAAACTGGAGCAGATCTAACCATGCTCAACCTTCTCCTACCAATACCAAACACCACCACCACCACCACCTTCTCCCAGCTACAGCTCCAAGTACTGGCCTTCGTTACAAGCGAGCAACAAGCTCCTCTGCTGAGTGCAAACAACGACGCCGAAACCATGAAGCTTGGCATCCGATCCATATACCTAAATCCCAATCCCTCTGACGGCACCGTGGCTCCCGTCCTCGGCCCCAACAGCTGGCTCTGGCTTGCCGCCATCATCTCATCCTCATTCCTGGCCTTTCTCCTCCTCATCGGCATACTCACGCGGTACTACATATATCCTATTGATCACAATACTTACGAGGTCTTTTCTTATACGAAGATGGCATTGCTCTACTTGCTGATCATGTGCTGGTGCATTGCCGCCATGGCTGGATATGCTGTTCTGTGGAACAAGAATATGAATTGCAAGGAAGAGGAGTTAATGCCAGTTCGAATGACTGAAGTGCCTGCGCCGGCGATGATGAAGTCGAGCTTGTGGGCGGTTGGCGGTGAGATTGAAAGCGAGCCTCGTGAGGCATTGTTTGGAGCCTTTAAGATTCAGTATGGTGAAAGACCTAATCTCAAGAGTAAGTTGCCTTTTCTCTTACACTTAAAACTATGATAAAACTATGATATTTATTTTTTGGAAGATTTACATATATACCAACCAATTCTTAGGTATTTACATATCTAACAACTAAATTTTAATTTTTACATACATGTCACAACAAAAAGGTTTATTTCATATTTTAAAAATTAAAATGATTGTATTTTTGTTGTGATATGTATGATTTGGATGAGATAAATGTAAAAAAGAATAAAAGTTAAGTTTTAGAAATATAAATAGATAAAAAACTTGGTTATATATATTTATGGGCCTCTTAGTTTTTAGTTAGCTACAACTTTGTTCTTGATTTTATCATTAGGAGACATATAAGCCATTTTTTAAGTATTTATGTATCTAACAACTAACTAAAATTATAATATCACATCAAAAATAATATCATTTTAACTTCTAAAAATGTAATGCATATTTTCATGCTCTAGGTAAGATTGCATGTACATAAAAATTTTAGATGTTAGATATATAAAAACATAATAATTGAGTACTATGCATTTACCTTGTAAGCTTAGGGTATAGTTTCCCACTTTGAGATTGCAGATTCAAATTCTATATAATATTTTTGGGCTCATCTTTCCCAAAAAAGCAAAACTTGAGTGTTATGAATGTAAATCTTCCTTTTATTATGCCAAGAAGTTGAAAACCGGTGCGTTTTGTGATTGCAGAGTTACTATTGGAGTTTGGTGAAAACTCAAGCAGCATTGGGGTGATGGCGAGTGGTCCCAGTTCATTGCGTCGCGAGGTTGCAGCTATTTGCTCTTCAGACAATGCCGGGAATTTGCACTACAATTCCATAAGCTTCACATGGTGATTAAGGGTCACATGGTGATTAAGGGTCCGTTTGGGGCAGCTCGTGAAACGCGGCCCCCGGGCCGGCCCCGGGAATCGACACGCGACCTGCATTTAGTGTAAAAATTCAAACGCAGTTTCAAATAAGCTGATGAAACGTGCGAACCAAACGGTACGGCGGAAGTTGCCCCAAACAGACCCTAAGTATTTATCAAAAGTTATTAGCTACTTATAGATGCCAATATTGAAATGAATGTCCTGACATTAAGAAATTGATGCTTAGCTCATTAGTTAATTAAAAAAAAAAAAAGAAAAAAAAAAAAAAAGTCGTTACTACTGTCTATTTGCGCATTTTTCTTAGAAAGATGTTTTTCTTTTAGGAATTTTTATGACAATAGGTAGGGCTTTAAATGAAGCAATGCACTCAACCAATTATTTACATTTGGCTCAATTAATTTTCTGTCCTAATTAATATTCTGTCAAACTTGTTCATATCAATAAATAAATAAATAAATAAATAAATAAATAAATTAGAATACTCTTGTTTATTTAGCTCAATTTGTAGTAAGAGGAGTAGTCAATTACCTTTTGAATGACATTTCATATTCGTAGAAATCTTTGGAAAAAAAAGTTCTTAAGAAGCAGTCAAAGCTTTTTCTTTAGCTCAATCCATTTCCACGGGATAGTCAAAAAGTTCTTGTGGCACAAAAAAAGGTCTTGAAAAAATCTTAATTGATATGTTTCAAAGAACTTCCAAAGTATTGTGTATTGTATTTAATTTCACTTTTCCTTATTAGTTTTTATTAGTTAGAGCTGGGTAATAGAAAAATAAGAATGTTTCTATTCACTTGATTCAAAATACTCAGTATTGCATATTTTATTTTTTTTATATCTATATATCTATTGAAATTTAGATTTATTGATATTTAATTGAATTCGTAAGATTTTTTTTTATTTCCTATGAATTGTGTTTTTCAAAATAGAAAAGCACAACTATGATAGAGAAGTAAGAATCTTAATATTTCATTCTACTTTATAATATGACCTTGGGTCTCAAAATCATTAGAAAAAAGATTATGAATTTTAGACTCCGACTGAGAACGAAACTTTTGAGTTCTGAGTTTTCTGGATAAATAAAAGCTAGATTTTTAGTACGGATAAAATTGATTATTAAAAATGAACTTATGAAGATGAAGATACTAATGAAATAGTATTGATATTGAACATGTCTATATGAATATATGATTGGAAATACATCTTTTTTCATTGTTTGCTAAACTTTATTGAATATAGACAATTCAACATGAATTTCCTATTATTATTTAAAGTAAATTGTCGCCATGGTGAAATTGATAGACACGCTGCTCTTAGGAAGCGATGCTAGAGCATCTCAGTTCAAGTCCGAGTGGCGACATAAATATTAATTCATGTTGATAATATTATCGATCCCAGGGGGTACAGATCCATAATTAACATCTAGAGATTATTGTACGTCAAGTAACATCAAGAGTTTTGGTTTCCGAAGATGGAATGTCTAATGTTTTTTTTACCTAGGAAATTTATTGGATTGTTGCGAGCAGAACGAGCAGGGCGCATTTTGGACGAATAAATATGTTATCGGGAAATCTTATTGGGAATAACAAAGTCATATTTGAATACTCAAAGTTTCATATCCGAAGCAAGTTTTCAAGAAACTGCTTGAGTTTTAGCAAAAGCTGCTCTACAAGGTCGTATTGATTGGTTGAAAGGCCCGAAAGAAAACGTTGTTATGGGGGGGACCGGATTCAATAAATTAGTACATCGTTCAAAGAAAGACAAAAACATTCATTTGAAAATCAAAAAGAAGAATCTATTCGAGTTGGAAGTGAGCGATATTTTGCTACACCATAGAGAATTATTTTGTTCTTGTGCCCAAAAACTTTTCATGAGACGTCAGACCAATCTTTTACGTAATATATCCTAACAAGAGGTTTATTTTTTTTACTTAAACTCTCTGGTTCGATTATGGATTTCATAATCAGTAAAATAAAAAAGAAAGAATGAAATTCATGGTTGGGGACGTAGATCAATGGTCAATCATGGTAGAAGGTTTCGTCGAAACAATTCTTTATTTCATAAGGTACTGAATCTTTTTGAAAAAAAAAAGAAAAAGAGAGTGTGGGAAAATGGGAAGACGGTATTGGAACATCAATTTGGAATAATTAGGATTAATAAAAAAAAGAATAAATGGTCTCACAAGAGACCCTTTTACCACATCAGGCACTAATATATTTTAACGTATAATTAGTAATTTGATCGGGTAATCATTCAAATTAAGAAGGGAAGCTTGTTGTTTTTTTGTCTTATTTGAATTGGAGCCATAAGGCTCTATCTATTTATTCACTAGACCTAAAATACTTTCCTGAACTTTAAAAATGTTCTAAAAAAATCTTGTTCTATTTATATTATGAGTACTAGAAATTTTCTATTATTCTATTGATATTCTTTTTTTCTATTTTTATATTCTTTTGACGACATTTTTTCTTCATTCATTACCTTTCAGGATCAGTCGTGATCTTATAAACTATACCAATAGTCTAGACAAATTTTATAATCCAAATGTGTAAGAGATCATAGTCACAATTAAAAGTCGAGTACTCTATCACTGAGTTAGCAACCCGGATAAATATGAAGTGTAGATATGATCGAAATAAAAAAAATTTAGCAAACTCATCCATTTTACTAAAATGAAGGAAAGAGCCACTAGGGAATGTGGATAAAAAAAATCTATTTATATACGATCAAATTATATTTGTTTGATACACCATTGTCAATATGGATGGACTTTTTAGAAAAAAAAATTCAAGAAATTCTATGGAAATTTGTGTTGGATTAGCACAACATAAAGAATAAAACTTTGAGTGAAAAAAATAAGGAATAAGAAAAATGTATAGATAGAGAAATAACGGCTTTCTTTAATGAAAAAAAGAAAGATATAATACAAATACAAGAAGAAAGATTACCCCCTTTGTTGGGGGGTTCCACAATAATAAGACAGAAAAATAAAATAAGTATGAAGAATAAAACTATCACTATATTTTTTCCTTTTCCTGCATCTTCCAAGTGCAAGATAACCCCAAGGGGTTGTGGGTTTTTTTCTACCAATTGGGGCTCACCCTTCACCACACTCATGGGGATGGTCTAGTCTACAGGGTTCATAACTACTTCATAACTACTTCTCTTACTACAGAACGCTTACCTAGCCAACACTTAGATCCGGCTCTAACCAAGCTTTTTGGCTCAAACATTACCCACTTATCCGACTATTGCTAAGCAGTTTTTGGATATCAAACAGACCTCCCAAGATGGTAATCTTAATGTGGTTGATTTACCCTCTTTTGCAATCAGTTTCGCTACAG